ACAGGGACAGCTCTGTCACTATGGGGACAGCTCTGTCACCACAGGCATGGGGACAGCTCTGACACCAGTGGGCAGGGGACAGCTCTGACACCACGGGCACAGCTCTGTCATCAGGGGCAGAGCTCTGTCACCAGGGGCAGGGGACAGTCTGTCACCACNACCAGTGGGCAGGGGACAGCTCTGACACCACGGGCACAGCTCTGTCATCAGGGGCAGAGCTCTGTCACCAGGGGCAGGGGACAGTCTGTCACCACGGGGACAGCTCTGTCACCAGGGGCACAGCTCTGTCATCAGGGGTTAATTATATTTGTATAATATAAAAATATATATTAATATTAAATATATTAAATATATATATACAATATTAGATACTTCTAATATATGTATAAAAATATATATACACAATATTAGATATTTCTTATATATATAAAATATATATACAATATTAGGTATTTCTAATATATATATAAATTTATACAATATTAGATACTTCTAATATGTATAAAAACATATATACAACATTAGATATTTCTAATATATATATAAATATATATAATATTAGATACTTCTAATATCTATATATATGAAAAATACATAATATTAGATGTAATCAATCCTCTAGCTGCACCTGGCCTTGCTGTAGCTCAGCCCCCGTGCCCAGCACTCACTTGCTGAGCTGGTAGTCCGTGCCCCTGACGAACTTGAGCCTGTCCAGGGCCACGCCGATGCTCTCCAGCATGGCTTTGATGACGTGCTCGTAGTACCGCGTGCGCAGCTCCAGCAGCTCCCACGGAGCCTTCATGTTGTCCAGGTAGGCGTGGAGGTCGGCGAAGAGGATTGTCACCTGCCACGGGGGACAGAGAGTCAGGGCAGCCGCCCCCTGTGCCCCCTGTGCCGCCCAGCAGGGTTGGCAGTGCCCCACCTCGCAGCCAGCCTTCAGGAAATCGGCGATCTTGGACATGGGCACGAAATACGCCACGTGCGGCTTGCCCGTGGTGGCCGTGCCCCAGTAGATCTTCAGCTCTCGCTGCTGCAGGATGGCCATGAGCTTCTCCTCG